AAATAAAAATATTACTAAATTGTATGAAAGGTTCACAAATATAGTAAGTGTTTAATTAAATTTACACTAATGTAAACTTAGTTAGTAACATTTTAAAATTTACCAAGGTCTTGGAGACCAAAGTAGGGATGGCAATGGGTCGGGTCGGGGGCGGATAGTGCATATTTGTTACCCTACCAAAATTAGTTCGGGTTTTACCCATAACCATACCCACATAAGAAACGGGTAGAAAACTATAACCATGCCCATACCCGTTAGGGTTTTGGATATCCACGGTTATCCATGGATTCTCTTTATAACTCCAACTAATATTATATTTTTATTTTAAATATAAAATATGTTAACGAAAAATAATGATTATTTCTAGACAAAATACATATGAATATGTATAATCGGGCGGGTTCGGATTGGATAGTAAGAAAACCATGCCCACCCATTACCCGCCATATTCGGGTTCGGGTTTTACCCGTACCCACTACAAGTTCTTTGGGTTCGAGTTTTATCCTACCCGATTAGGTTGGATTCAATTGGATATCCATGGTTACAGATATTTTTGCCATCCCTAGACCAAAGGTAACATCCATAGAAGAATCAAATGTTCTTGCTAAGTTTGCGGTAAGTGAGCTGATAGGCTCATTAACTGCTCATGAAAATGTGTTGAGTAGTGAAGATAATGATCCACCTCATAAGAGGAAGAATCTAGCTTTCAAATCCCATTTGATGGAAGATGAAGAAGAAATAGAAGAGCAGATAACACTTACCATACATCCTAAGCAAATTTCACAGTAAACCAATTTCACTATAAGCCAAAATCACTGTAAACCAATCTCTCCTTGGTCAATAGTTAGATGGCTTAAAACCAGAACCGTAATCAAAAGTTCACTAAACCATACACCATAAACCAATTTCACCTCGTTCAACAATTAGATGGGTTAAACCCGGAATCATAATCAAATGCTCTCTTAACCATACACCGTAAACCAATCTCACCTCAGTCAGATGAGTTCAATCCGTAACCGCAATCAAAAGATCACTTAACCATACACCATAAAGCAATCTCTCCTAAGTTAACAATTAGAGGGTAAAACTTAAAACAGTAATCAAAAGTTCACTTAACCATACACCGTAAACCAATCTCACATTGGTCAACAATTAGATGAGTTAAGCCCAGAACCGTAATCAAAAGATCACTTAATCATACACCATAAAAAATCTCTCACCAGACAATAATTAGATGTGTTCAACCCAAAATCGTAAACAAAAGATCACTTAACTTACACACTAAACCAATCTCTCCTCAGTCAATAATTAGATGGGGTAAACTTGGAATCGTAATCCAACAATCACTTAACTATATATCGTAAACCAATCTCACCTTGTACAATAATTAGATGGATTAAATCCGAAACTGTAATAAAACGATCACTTAACCATACATCATAAACCAATCTCACCTCTGTGAACAATTAGATGGGTTCAACTAGAAATTGTAATCAAAAGATCACTTAACCATACACCGTAAACTAATTTATCCTCATTCAACAGGAGAGACGGGTTACACCAGAATCGTAATTAAACGATCACTTAACCATACACCATGAATGATTTCCATCTCCGTTACCCATTAGACGGGCTAAACCCAAAACCGTAATCAAAGATCACTGAATCGTACACCGTAAACCACTCTCTCCTCGGTTAATAATTAAATGAACTAAAATCTAAACCGATTATCAATGATTAAAATTTGCAAGGTAGTCTTGTTGTTTTACTTGTCTGTTTCTCATGTGAACAACGTTGGTTTGATCCATGTGAGAGGATTTAAATTTTTCTTTCATTAATAGGTGTCTCATTTTACGTCCAACTATCACGTGACTAAGTTAATCTCTCAGCAATTGAACCCCATTAAAATCTAATGATTCAGATTTATCTAGTTTAATGAAAGATAAGATGGTAATTACATAATTTATTTATTTAACAATTAAAGTAAAATAAATAAATAAAAATCACAGTCATGTCACTCCACCTTCCGCCGCCGATCCGTTTCTGGGAAATTCTCCCTCCGGTGGAGAGGGGATTTTTGTGTCCCAATTGATTTTTGTGCCCGCCCCTAATAGCTACGAGAGAGATAGAGAGAGAACAACAATGGATTTCCAGCAGATTTTCGGTAACCGGTGAAAGATTTCACTGCGGAAGTGCTGGATTCTTGACGTTTGTCAACCTATTTTGTAATGTTTATAAGTCCAGTTTGTCATGTTTATATCAATTCGGTGTGTATAGTTTATCATTCTAGTTTGTTGTTTTTGTCTGTTGTGTTTGTAATGTTTATATAACTTATTTGTATATTTTTTTATTTATAATATTTGTTACTCTAGTTTGTATACTTTATTTTATTATTTATATACTTTGTATTCATTGATTTGTAATACAATTTTACTGATTTGTATTGTAAGTAGTGTTATTTGTATTGTTAGTATGCTTTGTAATGTTTGTCGGTTTATTTTGTAATGTTTGTAAGCTTTGTTATTTTTGACATGTTTTTCAGTTACTTCTGTAATGTTTGTAAACATTGTTATTTTTGTGCATCATGTTTGTCAACCATGTTTGTAATGTTTTTTATGTCTAAAAAATAACCTAGTTGACTATTGGATTTAAAAAATTTCTAGGTGAAATGTTTTTATACCTCTCGTTACCAACTTCATCCCATACTATACCACCCTGATATGGGGTGGTATTTTTCATACCATATGGTATGCTCTTATTTAATACCAGTCAATACCATATTGTATATAATGGTAATAATTGACTCAAACTTTTTTGTTCCAAAATATATCAAAGTGTATATCATTTTGAAGAACACAATTAATCTGATCTAACTATGCAAAAATAAAAAATCTGACTTAAAACGAGTGAGAAATCGTCCGTTAAAAATTAGAGAGGGAATTAAAGACTTTCCACAAGAGAGAAGGAGTGCTAATGTGACAAATTCTGATTGAGTTATGCATAAGATTATTTACCACAAGATTATACATCTAATACGCTCCCATTAATCACCTGATCCTCAGTCCTAATACAGTCGCGAGATTAACTGGGATTTTGATATCTACTTTTATTAGAAGTGGCAATTGGATCGGATTCGTGGATTGGATTGGTGTATCCATGGATCAAATGGATTGGTGGATTCATGGATTGGATCAAATGGATTGGTGGATTGATCTATCAATCCAAATGACATCCAAGGCTTGGACCAAAATGTGAATTTTGAAAAGTTTAGGTACTAAAATGTCATAATGAAAAATTTTAGGTACCAAAATGTAATTTTATAATGATATTTTTTGTATAAAAATATAAATTTTAGGTACCAAAATGTAAAATATAAAAAATATAGGTACCAAATCGTAATTTGTCATTTGGATCCATGGATTGATCCATGAATCCACCAATCCAATTGGATTTAGATCAAATGGATTGGATTTAAATAAATTGGATTAGGTGGATGGATTGGATTGGATTCATGGATTTGGATCTTAATTGCCACCTCTAACTTTTATCATTTCACGGGACGTTCTCACGACAGTGAGATGGCCAACCCCTAGGCATGAGATGCTAATGTTTGAGAGAGAGCAAGAATAAAAGAAAACAGGCAAACAAATAAAAGAAAACTCATAATCTCAGGTTGGGACGTTGGGTTAATTGGTTGGTTGCATTTTCATAATGACTAGACAAGTTTCTCCTTTTGTACGATGCCATGTTATTTCATTTTGGGTAAATTTAAGTCATTCAACAATTTATCTGCCAACTCAATATACACTTGGGCATGCCACATCATAAATAATTGATGGCGCGCTTTGACTAAGTGTGATGATGAATGAAGGAAGCAGACTAACAAGACAAATTTATTTGGTGGCAAATTATGAATATTTTTTAACAAACTCAGTAACTAAACATGTAATTCAGCCCAACATGCAATGATGATTTAGCAAATTATCTCTTTAAAAGAACAAGTTACAACTTTACTGTTTCTTAGAGTCACATCAAAACACTGTCACTTGGTTTGCTTTTTTGCCTCTTGTAACTTGGTAGAGTCACATCCCGTCACTGTTACTTTTTAGCTTTTTACTTGTTCTCATCATTTCTCAATTGACTTTACTTGTTTTGCTTTTTCTGACCAAAGGGAGACTTTTTATTACTTATCCCTTCATTCTTCCTCATGTCTAATCCCCCATTCCTCTCCATCTTTCTAGATCTGCTTTCTCTCTCCTTCTCTCTTTTGTGCTGAACGATGAAGAAGAAGCAAGGTGAAGAAGAAGAAAAGGAAGATCGAGACATGGGTGAAGCAGAACATGGAGGAGATCACAGAAGAATCCGGCGAAATAGAGCACCAACCGGAATTCACAGATTATCCATCAAGATAAAGTCGGTTCCTTTCTTCTAGATTTTTCTGGGTTTTTGTTCAATATCGTTCTTGGAGTTCTTCCTGCTTTCTGTTTTTGCTTCTGATTCTTGTTTTTGGTGTTGTTTGCGGAGATGGACGAAGAAGGAAATGACCGAAGCAAATGGCGTCGACAGGATCGATGCTGCTGCCTGGTGCGGATGGAGGGTTGTCGCTGGCTCTACTGAACGATGACGAGGGAAGGGGACAAATACAAGGAAGAACCATGGCCTATCGCCGCCAAAGGGGCATCAACGGAGGGGAAGGAAGTGAGATCTCCAACGGGAACTTTGTCGGCGATTTCACGCCCGAAGACTGAGCTTTGCCAGCGATTGCCATTTATCAACGGACGTGTAAGTGGGGTTTTTTGTGGATTTATTTCCCTTTTCGTTGTTGGTGTGTTTGGCTTTTTCTTTCAATGATTTCCTACAAATCTGCCTTTTTTGTTTTGAGGTTTCGACTAGGGAAGAGCTGTCGCCGGAGGAGATTTCTAAAGGCAGCTGAGGCGACGAGAACTAATCGCTGCTCTCTAGGTAAGTTCCTTCTTTTTGGGTTTGGGTTTTGTTTGCATTTTGGGGTGGCCTTTCTCTCATCTGGTTCTGTTGCTTTTTTTTTTCATTTCAGGCATAGGAAGAGGAAGAAGAAGTCGGCATCGCCAGTCCTGACCCAGACGACAGCTGCGACATAGTTGGCTGGCCAGGCAGACAAAATTTGTGGGTTATTTTTAAATTTACTGGATATTTGGTGATTCAGTTTGCCCTTGAATGACGGCGAGCACGGCTACCCTGTCACAATCGCTCGCTATTCCCCCAACGGGGAATGGATCGCATCCGCCGACACCTCCGGAACCGTCCGGATTTGGGGCGTCCACAACGGCTTCGTCCTCCACAACGAATTTCGGGTTCTCTCTGGCCGAATCGACGATCTGCAATGGTCTCCCGATCAGCTGAGGATCGTTGTCTCCGGCGACGGCAAGGGTAAATCTTTTGTACGTGCTTTCGTGTGAGTTGTACCCCTCTTCTCGTAATTTTCCGGCTTGCTTTGCTTCCTATTCAATCGATTCCAGGGCAATTGATTTTTGGATCTGCAATGTGGGTGAAGGTGGGATTCGGGAAGCACCGTGGGGGAATTCGATGGACATTCAAAACGGGTGTTGAGTTGTGCGTTCAAGCCCACTCGACCGTTCCGTATAGTTAGTTGCGGAGAGGATTTTGTAGTGAATTTCTATGAAGACCCTCCGTTTAAGTTCATGCTCTCTCACAGGTTCAATTGCTTAACAATTCCTTTGTTAATTAACTCATATTTGAACAACCATATCTTCAGATTTGTGATAACAATGTGTTCTATGGATGCAGGCAGCACTCCAACTTTGTGAATTGTGTTAGATTTTCACCAGATGGCAGCAAGTGCATTACTGTGAGCTCTGACAAGAAAGGGTTAGTCTACAATGGCAAGACTGGTGAAATCATTGGAGAGTTGTCCCATGAAAATGCTCATACAGGTAGCATATACGCCGTTAGCTGGAGCCCAGATAGTAAGCGGGTCTGAGCCACAACTCTTAAATGGTGCATCCAATTTGAACTTGGTCCGATCTTACTCAACCATCACCTAATCGTTGTGCCATTGTTATCCAGGTGCTAACAGCTTCGGCTGATAAGTCTGCCAAAGTATGGGAGATTTCCGAGGATGGGACTGGGACCGTGGTAAAGACATTGACGTGTCCTGGTTCTGGTGGAGTTGAGGATATGTTGGTTGGATGCCTTTGGCTCAACGATCATATCATTGTTGTTTCACTTTCTGGAGCGATTAACTTGTTCTCTGCAAGTGATCTTGATAAAGCTCCAGTGTTGTTGTCAGGGCACATGAAGAATGTCACAGCATTGACACTGCTCGAAAAGGAACAAAAGACGATTTTGACAAGCAGCTACGATGGCCAACTCATCAAATGGATACAGGGAATTGGTTATGCTTGTAGATTACAGAGGGGGAGCAATTCCCAAATTAAGTGTTTGGCAGCTGCTAAAGATGAGATCATTACATCCGGATTTGACAACAAGGTACACTTCAATATGTTATCTATTGTAACTTTTTATTGGCATAATAGACGAAAATGACCCGAATTGTGAAGAAAGTGGTAACCATTTCAAATTCTTGGGATGAAATCACTCCAAAACAAAGAGGGAGAATGGAGTAGGTCTAAAATCAGCAACCTATTTTCCTGCCTCTAAAAATTGGAGACAGCTACTAGGTCAGGAAGGATGGCATTGCAACCTGGAACCAATGCTGGTATTAACTGTGGAATTATTTGAAGGGTTAGCCCGAGTGTTAAACTAAATGGTCAAACAGAACACTCTATACCATTTTGTCCGACAATTTTAACATTTTGGTAACTTTCGTCTCTTTTTTTATAAAATCAGGTTATTTTCATCCCAAATATCAAATTTGGAGCCATTTTTAAGTACTACTGTAGCATGCCTAGGTTTAAACTCAGCCAGTTACGTTTTAACTCAGCCAGTTTCGAAATGAACAATTGCTTTTGGATGGTTTATGAAGTTTGTTTTGGTTCTCTGGATAATTGAGTTTTTAAATCAAATTTAGGTTTTTATTTTTGGAATTAGTTATTGTGCGGTTTAGAAATTACTCACCTTTGTGATGCTTAGGTTGTGCTTTGTGGAAGGCCTGCCATGAGAGGAGAAGGTGCATGAGCTCTGTTTGATTGCTTTTCATGAACTCGAAGATGTGACAATTGACTATTTGGGCTAGAGTGAAAGGGAGGACTGCTTGAAACAATCTGGGTAGATTCACCTTCATGTCAATCATTTTTATGTATTGCATCTGAGGTTTTTGTGTTTCTGTCGACATTAATATAGCAGTTATCTCCTTGCATGGCCTTACAAGGGTATCAGAGTCAATGTTGGAATTGTGTCTCAATCTGTTGTTTCTATTAAGTTGGTTGGATATAGGAAACTACAGTTGCTCTGCATTATTCTCATAATTTGTCAAAATGATATCTGCAGTTTCATACACAGTCCTCCTTCAGGTTGATTTCCAGTTCCTTTACTTCATCTTGCAATGGTTTACAGAGTTACTAGAGTTTAGGGTTCTGCTGCCTCTTGACCAAGCATAGCCGCAGTCATCTTGGGTAAGAGATGTGAATCGTGGATCTTAACTAGATGGTCTTCTAGCTTCAGTTTGTTGTAGGTTGTGTGTCCTCTCCTCGATCCTTATTTGCCTGCATACGGTTTTGATTCACGCTAAATGATTGTGTTTTTTCATGTTGTTTGCAGGTAGGCAGTTGAGGAGTTATGGGCTGAACTGTAGTCATCTTACTCTGGATCCAACGTATGAATTGGTGAGATTTCTAGCCTGCAAACAATCTCAATTACTTAGCATTCTATAATTGTATAGAAATAGAAGTTTGATGCGTATTTTTGGAATATCAGGGTAGAAGAAAAAGGAACTTCCCGAAATTAAAAATGATCTTTCATGTCAATTGCTCCCCAACCCGCAGTTTCTTTCAGACGATATTGGTGTTTATGTGCTTTCTAACCAATTAATATGTGTATATGCTAAGCTACGACAACATGTATAAGACCAATTTTCTTACTAGGGTTGTGTGTATAATAATAGCAGACTGTTGATCAGTTCCCTTTACTTGCATAATGTTGCTTTCTTTAAATCGCATTGTATGATCTGATCCTTTTTATACTTATAACTTCAGTCTCATGGTAGTTGCCTCCCAGAACCATGATCCGGAGGAGCCATAGGTAAATGAGAAATAGGCTCGGAAATGGCAGTATCATCCAGTGGAGAACAAAATGACAGGAACCTCGAAGAGTTACGAAGAGCAGGTGCATCATTTTTCCCATTTGGTTTCCTTAGTCTTTTTCAGGAGTTCTGAAATCAAACATGGAAGGACCATTCCAGAAAAGAGCTTCTGCATAACATAATGGTAAGTGTTGTACTTCACTGGTTTATTGATTTGTTTGCAGTACTTTTGTTCTGTGTATGCCTCTTTCGACCAGTACTACACTCTGTTGATTCCATCACTCATGAAAAATCCTTTTCCTTTCACGAAGGAAGAGCATTCGTTGAACAAAGACGGAAAGTGAGCTTCTGTTTTTCCCAGCTGTCACCAAACATGTCACCGTTTCAAGTGAGAAGCGCAGTTGAGGATTCGATAATAAAGACCAGAGCAATGTTGGTCTTCTGTGCTCCTTCCCTATACCTCCCATCCATAAATTTATCTTTGCAGGTCAACACTTGCACTCCTTTTTGCCTCACAGATTCTATGTTGGAATTTATAGATTTGCTTGCTTAAGTTAGGTCCAGTACTAATGCTCTATCGTTGGTGTCATTTCAAAAAAATAGGGATATGTTCTGCGAGATCGGGTAGGAGCAGTGCAATTGAAGTTTCAAAGCAAAGATATTTTGATTAGTGGATCTATGAATCACTCTTGGAGAAAAGGTACATCTTGGTGGGATTGATTGTTGTATGAGGGAACTTTCAGCCCATGTATAACTCTAAAGAAACCAATAAAAGGTAACAAACTCTTCCTTTCGTGAACTTACGGTGTTGTTTTATCTACCGGCCTACTACATTATGATCGGTTTGCATTAGAGAATGATAATGAAAGGGGGGTTTCAAGAAAGGAAGAGACACGACGGCACATAAGTTCTCAATGGAGTTGGTGTCCGTACGAGGGAAGGACAGCAGGAAGGTGGCAGAGGAAGAAGGAAGAGGGGAAACCGGAACTGGATACGAGGGAGGTAATTTCCGTTTGTGTTAATAGTTTTGCTTAAATTGTAGAAATTAGGTCATGTACTTTATGTGAGATTAGCTTATGTTGATCCGATTGGAGGATGATGTGAAAGGGATTCAAGGGAGCATAAATCAGCGGTTGCGATGGAGGAGAGTTTTTTTCATGTCCCTTTTTTTTGTAGTTATGATTCTCGGTCCGTTTTCTGCCTGCTTTTGAAACTTATTTGTGGTCTTCGGTGTTTCCACATACTCCTATATTCAAAGCTGGCTATGCAACTGCATACTAAAATAGTCCGACATATTAGCCTGCATTGCAGATGTTGACTTGCTATTTCAGATGCATTCAACTCACTGTCTGTGGGATATTTGGCTGGTTTTGTTTTGAATTTCGTTAGCGAGTTCCTTAATGTTTCTGTGTTTCGTCTACCGTTTTTTGTGTTTCCTGGATGTAGAAGGAATCTAGCAAGAAAAGAAAAGATTTGTTCAGCTTATTAAGATAGGAAATGTGCAATTTGTTTGGATTTGTGAGTAAATTTGTTGGTATTCTGAATGAATTCGATGAGTATTTTGAATAAATGTGCATTTTAATGACCAATCTTCCTCAGTTATATCCGTTGTAGAAGTTAAGGTGGATCCACTGGTTCTTGAATTTCTCATGTGTGAGCTCTATATGGTATTGTTCTTAGACAATATTTCATTCGCCACGAAGTGTTGCTGACGAGGTAGATATCTGAAATGCAGTCATGAGTGACTTGCGGAGAGAGAGAGGGCGAACGATTGTTGTAAGGAATAAATGGAGCATTAGAAGACTTGGTAGAGAAGAAATTCTCGCAAGCAGAGACCACCATTTTCTTGGCTCCTCAGCTTGAGCTTTGAAGTTCTGGTACTTCCTTCTCCCATCATTATTTCTGCTTGTTGTTTCTGTTTTCTAAAATAAATGTAATGAAATGTAGAAGAAGGAAAGAATAATAGTTTTGGCGGTCTGGGGTTGTGGAACTTAGAGTTGTGCTAGAGGTTTGAATTTTTGGTCTCACTCTGAATCAACTTTAATGGACTATGTTATGTATTGTTTATGTTCAGGCATAAATTTTTTCTGCTTTCATGTGTTTCATCTGATCCATTTAGGCATGTTGAAAGAGGTGGCGGTTAGGATTCAAAGCAAAGGACCATACACAGGACATGCCTTCTGTAGACATGATGGTGGGTGCTGAATTTCAACGATTTTTAGATTTCTTTCCAGTTCTTTTGTGAGTCTATGTCTCTTTCGACCAGTGATTTGTTGTTTTTTTTCCTTCCAACATGATATAACCAAACAAGACTTGCGATTCTCATATTGACGACATCTATGTGCCTTAGGAACAGGCTTCCCTTCGGTACTTTTCCTTCCCTTGAATCTCTCATTTTCATAGCTAATATTATGTTATATCAGTTTACACGGTGCATCGCAAATCATGTTTAGTGTTTTAAATAAAAATGAATCCGGGTTTGTGTTGCCTAGAGACTGTAACCTGTGATTACCTTTCGTGTTCATCTTAGAATTCAATTTTTATCTATTACATTGGTGTTTTGTCAGGTATGGTTGGTATTTTAGTTTTTTTGGGATACTCACTGGATAATTGTCATTGCCAACCAGGATACTCATAGAATACAAAAGAACGAGGAGGAGGAGGAGAAGAAGAAGAAAACTTTTCCATATCCATTATGCTCCCCCCACCTAAGTTATCTTTGTCTCCGAAACTTGCTCTCATTCTGTCTCTCTCTCTCCCCTTGAACTCATTGGTTTTCCCAGTACATAATCGGACGCAAAAACGCCGGCGACAAGCTGACTTACGGGTGAAGGATAGTCCACCAACTGATTCATTAGATGGTTAGTTTCTACCTCTGTGTTCGTTGTTTGTTTTCTTTTATGTATTTGATTGATTCTTAGGTGGTGTTTTTCATCATGGGTTCATTGGACAGGACTCTAGGAGCATAGCCACGGGTAGGAGGATCAGCAAGTTATGGGTTTTTTCTGGACAGGGAACTACGGAAGGGAGGTGTGCAGGGTGGCAGAGGGACAGTCAATAGATAGATTACCATCTCCATCTCTCGCTCTCTGTTGTTGGAAGAAGACAAAGGGAGGAGAAGAACAAGAAGAATGGGAAGAGGAAGACTGGAAAATTGCTTCCAGATCGATCCTCCTCCCCATCGTCGGTTATATACTTATCCTCATCCGCCGCAAAATCACACCAGCAACAAACTTGCCTAGGAGAAAAGAGTTGTCCACCGGCTGATTGATTAGATGGTGAGTTTCTGCCCTCTGTTTATTTTCATTCTTTGCTTCCTTTTATTATTTTAGTTTATGCTGAATCG